TGGCCGGGGGCGGCCACTGCAGCCTCGACCTGCTGGGCTCCGGTGATCCTTCCGCCTCAGCCTTCCGAATAGCCAGAATTACAGGCATGCGCTACCACGCCCGGCTGATTTTTTTTATTTATTGTAGAGATGAGGTCTCGCTGCCCAGGCGGGTCTCACTGCCCAGGGCTGGCGGGCTCAGGCAATCCACTCACCTCAGCCTCCCAAAGGCACGGGATTACAGGCTGAGCCACCGAGCCCGGCTCCAATACTAGATTTTTAATTTTTTTTTTTTTTTTTTTAGTTGGAGTCTCAGTCTGTCACCCAGTCTGGTGTGCAGTGGCACACTTGAGGCCACCACAGCTGGGCTCAGTTGATCCTTCAGTCTCAGCCTTCTAAGTAGCTGGAACTACAGGTATGTGCTACCATACCTGGCTTCTTTTTTGTAAAGAGGAGATCTCACCAAGTTGCCCAGGCTGGTCTCCAACCCCTGTGCTGAGGCAGTCCTCTCACCTCGGCCTTCCCAAAGTTCTGGGATTACAGGCTGAGCCACCTTGTATTTTCTTGTTCGTTATTACATCTTATTGTTTCTCTTGAAAATTCTCACTGTGCTTTATTTCTGCAACTTAAGACAGACCTAAGAATACCTTTCCTAAAAACTGTATTATGCTGCCACCACCAGGCTGTTTTTTATATTTTACTACAGGAATAATATGAAGGTAGGAATTGTCATTGCTGTTTCTGTTTCCCTGTGTGTGTGGGGTTAGAACAGTTAATTAATTAAAGGTTGTAGTTTGCAGGTTGTGGTTTTTGAATTTATTTATTTATTTATTGAGTTGGAGTCTCACTGTCGCCCAGACTGGAGTTGCAGTGGCTGCTCCCGACCACCGCAGCCGCGACCTGCTGGGCTCCGATGATCCTTTCCCCTCAGCCTCCCAAGTAGCTGGGACTACAGGCCCGGCTCATTTTTTTGATTTATTGTAGAGATGAGGTCTCGCCTGGCAGCTCTCGAACCCGCGGGCTCAGGCCGTCCACTTACCTCAGCCTCCCAAAGGCGCGGGATTATAGGCTGAGCCACGGAGCCCGGCTGTGATTTTTGAATTTAGACCCTGCTTTATCAGAGTGCTTGTACAAGTAGATTAATGTTCTGGCAGTTGAAATAATATACAGAAACTGCCAAGTGCAGTGGCTCAAGCCTGTAATCCCACCACTTTGGGATGCCAAGGCAGAGGATTGCATGAGCTCAGGGGTTTGAGACCAGCCTCATCTCTACAATAAATCAAAAATTAGCCAAGTGTGGTGGCGTGAGCCTGTGGTTAAAGTCTTTTGGAAGGCTGAGGCGGAAGGATCGCCTGAACCCAGAAGATAGAGGCTGCGGTGGCCATGAACATGCCACTTCACTCCAGCCTGGGTGACAGAGTGAAACTCCAATTCAAAAAAAAATTTTTTTTCTTTTTTTTTTGGTCAGAGTTTCCCTCTCAGCCTTCCAAGTGGCTGGAAGTATAGGCAAATATGCCACCATGCATGGCTAATTCATTCATTTTTGAGTCTCCAGCTCCAGTGGTCTGCCTCACCCTTCTGTTCAGCTTTCCAAGTAGGTGGAACTCTACAGGAGTGCCCTACCATGCCCCGCTAATTTTTTTTTTTTTTTTTTTTTGGGGGGGA